GCCTGTGTCGCCTCCTCCCCGGCCCGGCCCGGCCCGGCCCTGCCTCAGGCCGCGCTTTCGCTTTCCCTTCGCTCCTGCCTCCCAGCGCTGTCCCCCCGCTGGATCCCGGTCCCCGAGCGCGGGGATTGCACCCTGAAAATGCTGAGAGTTTTTTGGGGTGTTCAGCCTAGAGAGGAGAAGGGTCAGGGGAGAGCTCAGAGCTCCTTCCAGGGCCTGAAGGGGCTCCAGGAGAGCTGGAGAGGGACTGGGGATGGAGGGACAGGACACAGGGAATGGCCACAGGGCTTATATGTGGGATTTTGGGCAGGAATTGTTCCCTGGCAGGGTGGGCAAGCCCTGGAATAGAATTCCCAGAGCAGCTGGGGCTGCCCCTGGATCCCTGGCAGTGCCCAAGGCCAGGCTGGACAGGGCTTGGGTCACCCTGGGATGGTCTCCAGGTTCCTATTCCAACCCAAATTCAGGACTGTATGATTTTATTTTCCCTATAGATAGGCAGGACAAAGGAGAACTTTCCTTCCAGTTGTGACTAGAAGCACGCAGATGTTTGCTCCATGCTGGGACATTCCAATCATTACAGCTGGGAACAGGGAGTGCTGAGCTGCCCCTGCCTCAGTTTCCCCAAGTGCCAGCAGGTGCAGATACCCACAGAGGTACCCAGTGCTACAACACTTGACTCTACACCACTAAAATCCCTCTCAGTGAGATGGAGACTCAAAATTGAGGCAAGATTTGGGGGGAGATTCACATTTTCACCCCTTTGCAGCACTTGGTGATGGAGGTGCTGGAGCAGCACCACACTGGGCTCTCCCAGGCTCACCAGGGCCATTCCCAGCCCAATCCTGGGGAAATCAATGCTCCAACCATTTGTGCACTTGATCCTGGCAAAGAAAAGGACCTTTCCTTCCTCTTTTCCCAAGCTGGAACTAGTCTTGCTCCTTGGTTGATTTTTTTCTTTACAGACAATTCCCAGGGATTATAATTACATGAACCTCCCCCAAGCAGTCATGAAATCAGCACCTTCTCATATATAATATATACATATATAATATATATATAATTTATAGACAAATGACTTTTGTAAACAATATTCCTCAACTCCAGAAGGAAGTGGAGCCCAGGACATAACACAGCTCCAAGCACGGAGCTCAGAGAGAGCTGGCAGCTCTGTGGGAGCCCCGTGCCACCCCCAGCCTCCGCTTGTCCCCATTGGGATGGCTCCTGGGTGGGGACAAAACCGGCTGGCTCGGTTTGGGTGGCACCGCTTTCAGCTGAAGCAAACTGGTCCGACTGTGAAACCAAACTGGTGCGAGGCGTCGCCGTTGTGGAAGACAGCCAGGTCCCGCAGGGGCAGCAGCCACAGCTCCTCCGTGCTGAACTGGAAGATGGTGTCGGTGATGGAGGAGTCGTTGTCCGGCTGAAATGACCACCAGGGACAGCTGAGTGGCACCAAACCCCTCAGCTGAGGGCGTGCAGCTCGCTTGGCTGCTCCTTGATGCACCCAGGCTCCATGCCCAGGGTGGTGACCTCCCTCCTGTCCCCCAGGGCCAGCCCCATCCCTTGCCACATCCCAAGACCGGGAAGCTCCTTGGGCCGGGGGAGAGGATGTTCCCCATCCCCATCCCACCGTGTGCAGCCTCATCCACACGGTCCATCCCAAACTGGGGGGGGTTCAAACACTCTCCAAAGGGCTCTCCAAATATCGGGGAGGCTTTCCCAGGCACGGTGGCTCACCAGGCAGCCCTGCAGGCTGGCTGCATAGCTGTGATCCCGGGAGTCTGCCAGGAAGCGGATTTCCTTGTCGGGCTGGGGCTGGCCGAGCTCCGGGGCCGGTCTGCAGGAGTACGAGACCTTCTGGGTGGCGCGGTGGCTGTGCAGGCGCAGGAAGCGGAGC